ATATAATGAGCTATTTATCAGAAGGGGATTGTTTTTTATGTACACATTACAACGAGAGGGGACCCGTCGCTTATCCAAAGCCTACGGAATCCAATGCACCTCAAGAGATCCAGTCTCGTTCGTCCCCAGGCATATTGGGCAGAACAGACCCACAACACAAAGCACGGCGCGCCCGCATGACATGAGAAAAACCGATGCCCGCAACCAGTCCATGATGTCGCTGTATATACAATTTATACGCGTAAGAATTTGTGTGTCTTTATATATAGAGCAATGAATATATGATTATCATGTATATAATCTGATTATGTTGTTTTTACATTAGAACGCAATGTGTGTGCATTTATATGCACATTTTTGTCATGTGTGCTTCTCTACAGAAGAACGCAGTAGTCAACCAAGTGGATAGATTATACTACGCGAAGGACGAATCGGCCGTCCTTGAGTCGAATTCATGTCTGTTCGGTCGGTACGTACATTTGTATGTCAATGTAAATTGATTCAAACAAGATTATGCACACGTTAACAATATTAAAAACGTATAATTTTAAATTAAACGGCTTTTCTACGTTAATTATAATAGTAATCATCATTATTATCGTTCGCATCATAGTAATACATACAGTTTGCACTTTGCGTCGTTTCCTGCGACTCTTGATAGTATAGGCATCGTTAATTACCATTTGTAACGTATGGTAATAACCAAATGAAGATTCTCAGCTACCCTCCTTCGGCAATTTATCTTGCCAGACACATATCTAAGCTATTCGCAAGAGTAAACTTTTACAGATGTTACTTTAATCTTCCTCTCTTCTCCGGAAAAGACACGATCTCTTATTACCGACGTAAACACACACACACACACACACACACACACACACACGCAAACACACACACATATATATATATATATACTCATTTTTGCATTTAGCTTTCCATGTCAACTATTTTCTCCAAGAGATATAAACAGGTAATGCACATAAATATCACCAATATGTCGTGGTAAGGGAACGCAGCCATCTTCTGCCTGTAAGTGCTGGGGCAAAGACCAAGGTGTCATGACCAGCAGCAGCAATAACAAACCCATCGGTCCCACGAAGGCCCCGCAAGGCTTTATTAATTACCACTTCGATATCTTTTCTATTCGCGTCTTCATACGTAACTGCTTCTGACGTACGTACTCGTACGTAACGAGCATTGGCATGTCACCTACATATTACGTTATGGTCACGTTCCTCGAACGTTCCCTGTGATTCAAAGCCCTGTTGCCTGTCAATGCTTGTAAACAGGACCTGTAACCACACTCCTTAGAAAAACCTTCTGCGTACTTTTACAGATTACAATTCTTGCTCCTCTATTTGGGCGGCTGAAGTCCACCGTACATCATCTGGAGGTACTGCTGCATCAGATTGGCAGCCCCACCAGGCAGTTGGGTTGGCCCGCCCATACCTGGCGGAAGCATCATTCCCCGTTCGATCAACTCTTTATACGCCAACTCAGACGAAGTTTGACGCGCCGCTGCCGCCTGGGCCGCTTGATGCGCCGCCGCCGCTTGAGCAGCTTGCGCCTGCTGCACTGCCTGGGCCTGTGCCTGGGCGGCAAAGGCGTTCTGGCGCATCATGGCTGCGGCCATCATCGGGTTCATTGGACCGAGAGCCGCGAGTCCGCCGAGTGCACCAAGGTTGCCGAGTCCAGGATACAAGTTTTGTGGAATGAACGTTGGTAATGTTGGATTGTAGTCCGAAACTGTCGGTACACTAGCTGCAGCGGCCGCAACGGCGGCAACCTGCGCTGCAGCTGCTGCATGTGCAGAAGACGTAGTTGATGACGATGACGAAGACCCGCCGCTCGACTTCGACTTAGAAGATGATGAGTTTGATTTTGATGCACTACCGCTGCTGCTCTTCATTTGCATGTCTTGGAACGGAATGAGATGCGGCACCTTCGGTAGTTTCCCATTGGCGCTCGATCCCCCGATCGATCCTGAGCTGGCCCCGTGCTTATTACTTGGGGGTATTGGTACAGACTGTACAGAGCTGGATAAACTACTGGCATTACCCTTGGACTTCGACGACGACGACGACTGAGATGACCCACTGGAAGAAGAGGCGGCAGATACTGTGGCTGCCGCCGCAGTGGACGAGGACGATTGCGCCTGAGCTGCGGCTGATTGGAGGAGCGATGCCATTGATGCCATTGGGTTGAGCGGGTTGAACGGTGATGAGGAGCCTTTTGAGGATTTGCTACTGACACCCACGGCTCCATTACCGCCATGACCGGTCAATGCGGCCAGAGGAGATACCTGCCCTGGTGTTAGAGATGGAGATGTTAGTCTCGGTGAGGAAGATGGCGTTTTGTGCGAAGACCGTGACTGTCCACCGGACGACTGTGAAGGCGATGGAAGAGGGGAACTGAGTTGTGGATGAGCCATGTTGTTATGGCCCAGACCATGTTGTTGGGTGATGCTACCGAGAAAACTCGATACCGAGTGTGGAAGGTGTCCGGATGCGACCGACATCGAAGGCGGCGCTGCCGTGGTGGTAGATGTTTTCTTTATAGTGAGGTCTAATAAACCATTCGATGACGGTGGTATCGCAGGTGGCTGAAATACGTAACAATACAGAGAGGCACATAGTGAAATTAATTTAATCAGATAGATGAGGCTGTGAGTCAGGCAGTGTGATCAGTAGGATTCCTTTGAAAACAATGAAACCGCTCACATGTAGATTAATACTTTCGAACTGGATCTTCAACTAACTCACAAAAAAATTCTAATTCTTCGTTACCGTGTCAGATGGCTTTAAGGAGTCATTATAAAAGCACAGATGTTGCAAAAAGAATTTCGCAAATACGAAATTTAACAATCATATGGAAATTCTAGCGATGCTAGTCTATTCTGAAAGTCCTGCTTACTGGCTTAGGCGGGCTTTTGGACCGCTCTTGTCGCGTGGGCGCCTTCTTGATACTCAGATCAAGCGCGTCGTTATTCGTCGTTGAAGTAGTCGGCCTAGATCCCAAACTCGAAGCATGAGCCGCCGCAGCTAATGGGGTGGAACGACTTGAAGGCCGAGACAGGGAACTTCCCAGATGAGACGTCATCTTTGTAGAGTCTTTTTTCGGCGGAGGTGTCGAAAGTCCATTTGCTGCAGGAGTACAGGAATAATGATGATAGGTTAGGTCGGTTTTAGGTTACACTATGCTAAGTTATGGATTTGTATGCAACAGCAAGCCGACCGGCACTTTTTCAAAGATATAGTCTTTCATACAAGCTTAAAAATTTATAGGCGACGTATTTTCTGTTATAAAATAATAATCGCTATTATTATTACTATAAAAGAAACAAAGTATTTTAAAACCCATAGAAATGGTTAACATTAATAACAATATATCGATTCTATCCCTTATGACCTTATCTGTGAACAACCTCCACTGAATTATGCTCTTAGTGCGTTAAACTCAATAAAACAGTATACACGGCCATGCATATGGATGCCCATGGATGTGAGGTTGTAGTGTGGTACGTCACCTAACGATCGACCGAATAGCAGTAAATTAAATAATAATAGTTTTCAGCTCCCCGGGACTTTTTATCTGCTCTCCTTCTAGTGGACAAGCATGCACATACCAGGTGTAGGCAAAGACGGCGACATACGATGAGGTTGGAAGGAAAGTTTAGGGCTTGCAGCAGGCTCCGGTTTCGGTTTGTTGCTGCTACTGCCGCCGCTGGTCCGCTGTGGTGCAGCTGGCTGCGTTTGTGCTTGAACTTGTGCTTTACCCAGCTCTTGGAGCTGAGCCATGGCGCTTGGCAATTGCGTCGGTCTTCCCGTTAACGCTTGCAACATCGTACCCGCCGCCGCTGCGTACGGCCCATTTGTGTAAATCTGCTCCATGAGACGAGCCATGAGTTCCTGTTGAGCTTTCGGGTTGTTGGCTGCCGCTAGCCCGCAGAGTTGTGCAATCTGGGTGCGCCACGCAATGGCCAGCTCCTCTTCCAGACGACGCTGTATTTGTGCCTGTTGCGCAGCTTGCGCCTGTGCGTGAGCTTGGGCTGAAGAAGGCGTCTGGACTCTGGGCAGTGGGGTGCGGGCACCTTGCCGCTGCGTTGATGCAGACCCTTGAGGAAGCACTTGGGTGGGCGGTGACGCAGTATGCGGGGAAGGTGGGAGACGAGGTGAACTGGATATCGCCGGATTTGGCCTAAAATCATGAAGTTTACAAGGCAACGAATACAGTATATATAATGTGTATGTATTATGTATGATACTAACGTGGTACAGCAAAAATCAATAAATTAATCGTGATAAGAAATAAACATTAGTGGCAAAATCGTGAAATGCGCTTTGAGCCTGGTGAATGAGACAACTCGACTTGCTAGCCAATCAAACAAACCTTGGATGTGGCGTAGATTGAACCTGAGGTGAAGGAGCTTGTTGTTCCTGTTTGAGCCTCTTTGCAGCAGGCTGCTCGTCCTTGGCCTCCTCTTTGACGGTCGCCGCTTCCCCCAGCGCCGTATTCTCAGCCTTCAGCCCCTCGATTTCGACCTTGTTCTCCTTTTTGACATCTTTCAGCTCCCCATTCTGCTCCTCCTTGATGGGCTCCTTAGTAGCACCAAGTTCTCGGTCTTGTTCCTTTTGTAGCTGCTGCTGCTTCTGCTTAAGCTCTTCTTGAGCCAGCTCTGCCATTCGCTTTCGTAACAAGCCTTCGAGTGTCGTCTTCTCATGCGGTCCTGGCTTCGTATCCTCACCAGCTGCAGAATCCCTTGTCATATCACCGACATCTCCCTTCTTCTCATCTGTAGAGTTTTTCCTTTCAAGATTCTCATTGGCTTCCTGAGAACATTTTGAAACGTCGCTCGCGTCTTTGGTCGTTTCCGCCTCAGCCACTGCTGCAGCGGCCACCGCAGCTGCTTGTTGCGCGGCCCGTGCTGCTTGTTGCGCAGCAGCGATTTGTTGTAGCTGTTCGTGAATCTGTTGCTGCATTTGCTGGTGCTTTTGGTGTATCTCCAATTGTTCCTGGAGTTGGCTCAACTGCAGTGGGGTCAGCTGTTGACTAGGTGACGCGGCCGGTGATGAGTGTTGGTCGTGATCCCTGTCAAGGCCTGATTCTGCTGTTTCCGATTCTTGATCCCTGTCCATCGATTCGAGCGATTGGGGTTGCTGTTGTTTTCGTTTTTGCTTCTGCACTGGTGGCTGATCTTCGTCCTCTTCATCATCGGCGTCTTGTTGATCGTGTTCAAATTTCAATTCTCGCTTAAGCCGTTGCTGCTGTTCGTGTAGATCTAATCTTTGTTGTTCGAGAAGTAATAGTTCACTGTTCGCTAACTGTTCCTTGTCATTATATTGTTGTGACATTTGTTGTTGCTGGCCGTTGAGTTGCTTTTCGGCTGTGGCCACGGCTGCTGCCTTTTCTGCAGCTTTTTCATTGGCCTTTTCCTCTTGAGCAGCCTTCTTCTTACGTCGCTTCTCTTCATCAATCTCGCGAACGTGCCTCTCATAAGGCAACAGAAGTCGCTCGTAATGCCGTCTGTAGTTGCAGGCAGCAAAAAAAGTATCCAGATTAGACATACTCGTGCTTGAAGCGCGTGCTCTTTGCAGGGTTAATCGTTGTGTGTTATTTCTATTATAGTAATTTATACCTTCGTAGAAAACAAGCTTATTTATATATATATATATATATATATTTGCGTGTGTGTGAGCAATTTACAGGCAGATGGATCCAATTCCTTCTCACCTGGTATAGGTGGCAGCGCTAGTGCTATTGGCACTTCCGCCCAGAGTATCATGCAACTTTTTCCAAAGCTTCCTACACGTAATAGACTCATATCCGCCCATCTCCTGTGAAAGCGTAAAGAAGTCGAACAGGTCGACTGCAAGACATACCAGAATAAGGACAGATTGTTAACTATTTGTAATCTAGTAAGCACGAATTGCTCTGGATTGGGATCAGAGTATTCCAGGTAACCGCCCAATTATAATGCTGAAATAGCAAAACCTGTCATTTTATGTAGTTGTCTCGCAGCAGCTAGCAGGGTAAATTTTTTCAAGTCAAATAAGTTGGATGAGCGTACCATCACTTTGTCTTTCCCTCTCGGATCCCCTAATCAGTCTGCATAGGTCATTAAGACCAGCCGCGTAGTTCATTCCCTGAATATTTTTAATATTCCATGGATACCTGATTCGCTTTGTATTTTTAGGATAGAGATTAACTGTGAACTCAACTAATTATCATTCATAACCGCCTCATCTAGTCGAACAGCGGCGTAGGCCCATTTCGTAGGCCCACTCTGAATAACTCAGGCCAGTGGTACGGACGAAATGTTTAGGGGCTTTCTGTTTTAAAAAATACCATAAAAAATAAATCACCCTTATATTGAGAATGTATATATACACGTAAGGTTGATGCACGCAGAACGAGAATCATAGCTTGGAGTAGATTTCCGCAATGAAAGTCCACACATGTGCTTGAATATCTCACTGCGTATGTACGACGAAATCATAGACATTGTTGAATGCAAATACTGGCAAACCTTAATGAGCCAACTCGCACATTTGCTTCAGTTGCGTTGACGCGTACCACCTAGTATTTACAGGTAACTTTACTTACTTTGTTTGAAGCCAAGGCTGGGTATGCGGCTGATAGGCGTCTTTCGCTCTCGCATGAAATTAAAAAGCTTCTTGAGGAAGTCCTCCTGCCGCTTACATGCTTCATTTGTGTTGTTTTTCGACATTCGATTCTCAATCTGTATGCGAATATTGTCACGACCCTCTTCCGAGGCGTTCGAATCCGACCCTGGTGAACGTGCCCGTCGTCCAAATACACCACCGCTTTTTCGTTTGTACCTAGATTTTAGGCTTGGCCCTAGAAAATTCAAGCAAAATGATGTCAACAAGTATGCCATAGCCTAGAATGCCAAATACTTTCATGTTTCTTAGCTGTTCTCAAAAAAATAGGCGGCAACCCTGGGATTGAAGTTCAGCTGTTTGCTCGAGAAGTAGATCTACACGTCTGGTAAGAATTATGCTCTTGTTCGAGTTCACCCTTACCGAGATGATCACAGACTTGCTCATTTTGTGAGAGAGTCTCGTGCTCAAACTCTTCGCGAGCAAAGTGTATGTGGTAGTCCCCTTTCTTCGGAAGATCAATGCCACCAAGGGCTTCGACAAGTGGGTGACTCCGCCACAGCTCCAGATGGCCTTCAAGTCTTCGGAGCACTGCCCGAAACCGACAATACCGCGGGTATGATAGGACGACGACGTGTGGACAGGAGAATTCGCCATCCCGAGTTATCGACAACGCGCCATTACCCGGTGATCCTGCAAAATAGCATATACATAATGTACCCGATAAGGGAAAGAAATGACAGTGACTTGTACAAGTTTGTTATACGGCGTGAGCCTCATGTCTCCGGACAATCTGAGAAAAAGGTTTTCGAAAGCTGGCGGGCTTCCATTTCACATTTGTTCAAATAGCAGAAAATAGGCAAATGGTCGTAATAGAGAACAGATATAATTGTCCAACACATTATAACAGAGGCACCTTAAGGCCATCTCAATAACTGCTATGTTACAGGGTTACTAATGCCATTGCACTACTATGATGTACACTGCATTACATTTTTTAACATAGTATTAAGGGGATATAAAAACGATATTAGGACGGATAATAAAGTCGTTGCAATTATTTATACGTTTTTGGCTTTTCAACAGATGTGAAATCGTCACAAACGAAGCGCTCCTTGAAAACACAAATATAACCTCTAATAATAAAACATACAAGACCCAAAGCTATTTAAAAAAGGACAGCAGACAATAAACCTACCATTAGAACATAGATAATAGTGTGCGTCATTCATTGTATATCCATTTGTCGCAAAAATTGGATTCTGTCCGTTTAATAGAATCGCATATGCTATAGTTCGAATAGAAGAAAAACGTCATAGACAGGGTCATCACAGTCGCTGGATACTGATACAGGACAAACTACGTTATTATTTAACTCTTTTTTATCGAAGGGCTCATTAACGAATTGCCGCCAACGCAGCCTACGCTGTAACTAGTTTTATTGTACCGCAAAAGGGATCAACTGCTGGCAGATTCTACCGCTCTCCTCACCTTTATCAGTCGCAGTTGGAGGGTTTGCGTCCCTGGGCGGCGAGTTAGCCCCAAGGAGGTTATTCTCTTTATTGTCCTCAGTGCTTCGTCGGGCAGCTCCGCTTCTCTGAGCTGCCACATTGTTTCCGTTATCGGACGTCTTCCTGTCTTTTTCTTCTATGGCCATCGCATCCGAGCCATCCGTTCCGAGGGATCCAAGGTTTGTTATCCCTACGCTAGGCACAACCAGACCGTGATTCCACTCCACCTCTTCGGTGATCCAGCCGACGAGGTCATCTAACCGGAGAACGATCGTGTCCGATGCCACCAGCAGCTCATGCTGAAAAAACACACGCAGACAAAGTAAGAAAAAGAACTATTTCAGAAAATAGATGAACTATGTACACACACACACACACATATATATATATATATATTTGAGTGACATTAGAGCAAGGTTGCATCTAGCAACATCGCTTGATGCATAGTCGCTAGTAAAAAAAATTAATTACGGATGAAAAAAATAAACTTTCAGTTAATGATTCAGGCCCAAATTGAAGCGACCATTACCGTGGATAGTACCCGTCAAGGACATTACCGCTAACCCATGAAACGAATATATATCTAGATATAGTTTCAGAAATAAAAAATGAGAAAAATTCTCCGTCTAGACGCGTCATTCTGTATGAAGGCGTAGAACATGCAAAATCCTTCATTTTTGTCGTTCAATCAGGATTGCCTTATGTGTATGACTTGGCTTGAAGTGTGAGTTATAAATTATTAATACAAACACTATCTACAAAATATATGCGTAGTGCTAACTGATATAAAGTCTATCTGTCTATTAATAAGCAAGCAAACATTTTATTGATAGTGATAATAATGCCGCTAGCTCTCATGTTAGAGCTTTATTTTACGTTTTAGATCCAATCCCTTGACGAAACATCCTTTGTCCTAATTTTGCCAATCGTATCTGTTGAAATCGTTGTCAACGCTTTCCCCTCGTCGTATTCACTTAACCGCGCACTACCTATTTTTTCGTTCACGCATTGTGTCGTTTGTTTAAAAAATAAAAACAATGACGTGAACGAGTGGGCAGAGCTCGACGTCGTGGCTTCGCTGCTCGTTGAAAATGAATGAAGACTATCGATTAGGATTCAATTAATTTGAAAAGTCCGTCAATTTCTTCATGTGGGCATCGCTTTTTTGTGCATCGAAGTTCCATGCGTTTTAGAACAGAAACCTGCCCAGAATAATTCATACTCGATAAATGTATATATCTTGAATGTATACTACTATTATGTCTCGTTCTATTTGTTCGATGATGACACTGGATCGTACAGTTAGTTCTATTGTTGACGAGTCGATCTAGGGAGATCCCATTGCGAAGTAGTACAATCTACCTTACCTAAGTAGGGTGTTTAAAATAGGCCTTTGCGAAGAGGAAAGGATAGTTCCTAAGACTCTCGGAGAAATAAAAAGCTACGCTGGAGAGTTGCCGTTATCTAATGATAAGCTGGTCAATCTGAGCAATTGCGTCCGCGTCTGCAAACTGCGAATAGCCGTAAGGGCTGGGAATCGTAAACGATAACGCCAATTGTGAAAATATGCCCTGCGTTTCCTGCTCTGTCATCGCAGCCTATAGGATAAATAATTGTAAACACGCGTACAGCTTCGACGAATGAAGGCTGCTTACATAGCATGCGGTGACTTCATATTAAGAAGTAAATATCAAACAAATTCGATAATTGAATAAATACCTACCAAACAAATTCCAACTAAAATATCAACCTTGCCCCTAATAAAATAAGCTAACAATATTTATTCAGGTCACCCAAATCTGTTGATCTACACGTAATTACGTACACGTTTCTTACTATGCATTTCTGCGAAACTCTGACAAAAATGACCAACAGTGTGCCTTTTCTTATCGATGACCTTTCTAAGCGTTGCTTGATTTATAGACTGATAACTCAATCCGTATCACTTACGAGGACGTCTAATATTTCGCTAGGAGTAGCATCGCCCGTCTTCCAGAAAGCCAACGCGAGTTAACAGCTTAAAAGATGCTAAACATAGCAACAATAACGTGGATTGTAGTAGACAGAACAAGGCCCTATGGCCTGTTGATCACCCTCGCTGTGCGTCGTGTGTGTTAAGGTTCTTAGGGTTAGTTTGAATACCTGAATGACGATATAGCGTTATTTATGTCTCTAAGTTTTTAGGTCATACACGTATCAAGAGGATGATACTTGAAAAAAAATTTATATATATTAGGCCACCCTTGGCCTTTGCCTTGTGCGTGTTTTGCTATTAAACATACCTGTGTAAAGGTAAGAAGCTGACAATGTATTTATAATATAATAACCAGCTTCCTCCACGATATAGCCTAAACAGAATTTGTCATTCAACATCTTTCCAGGATGAATCTCTGGCGACGCACGCATTAGTCTCAGATCTCTGCTAGTACATATACATTAACTAACACTAGAGCTACCCCATGACAAACATCTTGCCCAAAAAAATCACCCTTTATTAACAGATGTGACTCTTATAGGCTAACCTAGTTTAAACGTCAATAGTCGATCCTCTTCTACAGTGTGAGGCAGTGCTATGATTATTGGTGAACTCTACGTGCGACCACTCGTAGAGGTCGCGGGTAAGTGAATAAACGACACATTTGGCGATTGTAACACATCATTAGCCCTATCAGTGCTAAATTCGTATAACAGATTGTTTTTTACCGCTTGTGGCTATTTTTAAGGTGTGAACGGAATCACCTCTTCGGCATAACATCCAAGGACCTACCCGTACCAGAAGCTCTAGCTGGGATGAGTCTTACCCGATTTAAGGCTTCTCTAAGAGACCTATTAAATGGAATGGTAATCATACGCCGTAAAAAGTATTTGCCAACCAGCGATGACCGCATAGGAGCGATCACCATGGCCGTCGCGGCGACTCCAGCTCACTTTGCTTATTCATTCATTATCGAGCGTAAAAGTGAGCCGTTTAGATATATGTAAAGTTAAACGCAAATCTGTGTCGGCCCCAACGTCACTGTTCTCTCAGCTTCATGAAATCTCAACAGTTACATAATACAATTTTCGAAGCTATAGACGAGCGAGGCCAACAAGCCGGCGGTTTATTAAGTGACGGCTGCTCATTTGTATGAATAAATCAATATCGATGACGTTGGTTTTACGTAACTCGTGACGTACCAATATGTGGCATTTGTGTAGCACATAACATGCGCTGGGCTCTCTGATCGACCCGACTAGAGAAAAAGTGTGGAGGGGCAAGTAGAGAGCGCTAGAAGGGCAGACAGACAGACCGACTATACGCTGCTGCGCTATGTCATTTTATGAGGCATTTTTCGGGTTCTGTTCGTTGGACCCAGAGCACTCGTTGTTTTGTCGAGTTATGAGCGTTTTAGCTACTTATTACTGTGTTACGTTAGCACTATCAGCGCATTTTCTCAAGGCCAAAACGTTGCGCACGATGAACTTGCAACAGCAGCTTCGAACTTGCCGAAAAATATACGTCATATTTCACTTTATGATACAGATTCAGACTCAGGTAGATTAGCTACAGGTAAATGATAGTAATCATGAGCTCGTCTATTGGATCGATGCCTACTGACAAAAATGGCGTCGTAGAGAAATCTTTTTTAAGTTTATAACAATTCCCCCCAACGAAAGCAGGCTTGTCCTCGGCGTCGTTTCTATTTAATCGTCCCACAATGACCTGTACTCGTATTCCGATCATGTCGTTAAACCGGTTCATGCGATATGCTAGTTCCACCAGGAAACACATCGAATCTTGATTTCTGGATGGCGAAAACGTTCCCACGAAGCTGCCGGCTGACTCGCGAACGTCTGTCTGACTTCGTACTGTCAACAGAGCTTATCATCCCTCAGCGATCAGTACAAGCAATTTACCGAAAATGCTACGCGTTCCGCTACCGTATACATTATTGGATATTAGAAACAGATTTATTCTTGAGACAGTTGTTGTTGCTGAGAGGTTTCGAATGAAGTAACAGTACACGTATCGCTGACGATTGTTCGAGGCCCCACTTCAGATATCTATTATTCAATTATATGAATTCAATAGGGTACGTAAGCTCTAGCTTCTGCACACCGTATACCTATAACAATGAAGCACGCTATAAAGTTTATCATAAACGTGTTACGGCCAGTGTTATTTTGAGCTAATAACACACAGACGAACAGAGCGGAAGAGTCATCGCCACGCCGGATCCACCGGATGGGAGAATATTTTTTCTCCATTATTAATGCAGTAATTTTTGGCGAAAAGATCACCAATGCATTTTAAATCAACCGGCCTCATACGTTCACATGCAACACGAAATTTTCTGCGGTAGAAGACCGTATTGTACACCAACATTATAGATACACAGTCAACAATTGCGTTAATTTGTGGAAAACAGCAATAATCACGTTATAGTATTTGTTGATAATGCTGAACGTGAACGAAGTCCTTCGGCCACCACTGGATGTATGGACAATTAGATAGCCCTATTCTTGCAGTTTGGCCTTCACGAAATGCAATAGCTATTTTGGCAATCCCGACTCTCAAGGCCTGTGTGATTTACATCTAGCGTACGTGCATTTAACGATGCACTCTATCGGATAGCCATTAAATAAAAATCAGTAACAAAAAAAAAAAAAAAAAAAAAGCGTTCACTATCCTCAACGCGTCCTGCTTTTCCCTAAATAAACTCGAAAACAGAGATAAGTGAAGCGTAACGTATCGCGCTGGTCAGCCACAAGACAATCTATGTTTGTTAAGCGTCAATGCCTGCCTTTTATTAATTTGAATCGATTTTTGTCAACGATGACAACGTTGGAAGAAGCACTCGCTTCTCTGTAGGCGTCAGCTTAACTTGGCATCAATTGGACGCCACAAAAAAAGACGGTGCGACAGCGAACGAGTCTAACCCGTCTATAAGGCTAACTGTAGTCAACAGTTGAGAAACAAGATTGAAGAAATAACGTGTTTGGACGCAAGGCAGATGGCAGCCGCCGAACGAATCTAGTAACAATAACAACAACTCTGCCGAAGCGATCTGCCGCTGACGCCGATGCCGCTAGCTGAGAGTGAAACAGATTCGCTTATTTTTTCGTCCTCTTTTTTTCTTTTCTTACGGCACATGCGGGGCCCCCCGTTCGTCGTGGTTCCTCCGAACGCCAGCCTGCCCCTTCGTAGGTATCCGTATCTCTATCGCAGTCATTTCATCTTCGGGCACGATATATACTCTCGCGGTCTGACAGAATATATAGACCACAACAAAAATTAAAGAGTATATAGCTGTAAGCC